GAACTAATTTTCATTTCCTTTTGTTTAGATCGGTCCTAAGGATGTAGCCGCTAATCAAGTTACAGCTGTGTTGCGGTACAATGGCAAAAAATTAGCCATTAAACAGGATGATCTTGTGAATGAGATCAAACGGCTTCTAGAGATGATTCACAATGATATGTATAACAAGTGAATTTTTTTATTTCACTAGAAATTCATTGCGAATTAGAAAATTTTTTTCGCAGTTTTCAAGAATTTGGAGGAGAAATTATGTAAAATATGCTTTAACTTGTAAAAAATACTGGAGAAACTCCAAATTTCTTTTATTACTCTGATTTAATCTTGTTTTCTTTATTGAGATCTCTATACCGCTCTCCCTATCTTGAGCTTATCACTATGCTAAACCTTTTTATCCAAATATTATCATCTCATGGATTTGTTCTTTATATTTGTCCATATTTCAGAGTGTTGGCTGCCAGAGATGCTCACATGAAGATTAGCTATGATATCGACGAATTCAAACGACTACTGGACGACAAATTTATCGTGCTGTCGCCCTTCTGTGGTGAAATTGCATGCGAAGACGAGATCAAGAAAGCCACCACAAGAGACGACGCTGAAGCTGGTGCTGCTCAAATGGGAGCGAAGACACTCTGCATTCCCTTGGAGCAACCCAAAGAACCTCTACCAGAGAAATGTTTATTCCCTGCATGCAAGAACAAGGCTAAGTTTTTCGCACTATTTGGGCGCAGCTACTAAAAGTATTGAACATGGAAGTATGAAAGTCAATTGTTTTTTGTTATTGGCTGTTATCAGTATCAATTATGATTCGAGGATCTATATGATTTGCATATGCCATAAAAGTCGTTGAATAATCGGTAACATGTTTTGCATTTTTCAAACTCCTTTATAACTAACTATAACTTTATCCTCTGTAATGGGGTGGTGTTGTGGGATCATATGTTTTTGAACTTCTCTACACTAAATGGCATATTCAAGTGTTGTTTTCGCTTGACTTGGTGGTTGGTTTACGGTACTTATTCTCCAACTTATGAGTGCTCTTTAGCATTCTAAATAAATATTGCTGTTAATTACATCTTATATTATTGAGTGGTTCAAAACCAATAATTTTTATTGCACTCTTGTTTTTTCAGGACTTTACATCGATCAAAAAAAATATTTTGAAAAATTAGGCATGTCCTTAAATTTTGTCTCCGTTGACCCAGAATTTTGCGGGTTCTGTGGGGCAATCCTTCAAATGCCCCAACATGCCCCTTCTTCTGTTGCTTGTCGTGTATGCGGTACTCAGTGGCATGTTAAAGGTTCGTTATTTTTTCGACAATATCTCTTCTCTATCTCATTCTCATTATAATTTTAGAAAAGCGTGATCATCTTGTCTGTCGGGTAGAGAAGATCTATGAGCGAACAGTGGCAGATACAGAAGGCATGGAACATGACGATGGAGCTGATGCCGTTGTGGATCATGTGTGTAGCAAGTGAGTGAAGTTTCAAAGTTAGTCAAGTGTATAATGCGTACAATGCTGTTGCACACAAAACTCCAAATCCAAAGGATAGACTTCAGTTTGGGCGAAAACGCAAATGTTATTCATCTACAACCTCACAAAATTCTTTCTTTCAGTTTTCGATCTGATAACTGTTGCGCTTTACATCTTTCCGAATTTGGGGAATCATTCCACCTGCTGTTTTGTAGTGATTTGAGGTTCTGGAAAAAGAATAATTGCAAATTAGTCTAACAAGGCAAAGGCGTTGCTGGTTTAGAATTGAAAACAGAAGTGAAGCCACTATAAGCAGGC